CGTGTGCTCTTCCGATCTCCCCAAAACCCCAAAACCCCAAAACCCCAAAACCCCTAGGGTAAGATTTTATCAATAAGTAGATGAAATAGATCAATTCAGTATTTTAGCTTCTTATTCTAATCTTAATACCTATTCATTCAAGATTGAGTCTTATTTCTGATAAGTTTATGCAGCATACACAAGAAATCAGTATAGGGGAACTCTTTATTAATGTCCATTGAGTCTTCAACCAAGCAAGTCTCTACGAATTCCTTCTCATTAGTGGTGTCTCCGCCGTAAATAAGTCTAAGAGGGGCATAAGCAACTCCAATTTTTTCGTATCTGATTTACTCAATGAAGTTCCAGAGTGTTGTTGAGGCATCTGAACCTTCATATGGAACAAATGTAGTGACTCCGTTGAATTTCAAATCACTGAAGTTACTGTATCCAAAAGCCTAATAATTCAAAATTAAGAATGACTAAATTACATTATAGATGAAATTATCATCCACATTATTGCCGATGTAGAGGTATATATATTCACTATTGTCAATTAAATAAGCGTCTTATGTCCCTAATTTCTCCATTGAAGCAATGCAGAGTAAAGGCTTTTGCATAACTTCTTGGCCTTCTGCATATTGACCAAGTGTTGAATCCTAAATTGTCATGAGAATAAATATTCGTACTGGCTATCCAAGGTCTGTGATTTTATAAACTCTGGGATAGAAGAAGTAAGGCATCTGTGATGGTGGCATTTTAAGAAGCCTGTAAATACTGACAATTTTCTCATCAATTTTGCAACCTGGAAGCATCCTTAAAGCCTAAGAGAAGTTAATGAAAGTTGATATTACAGGAGATTTCAAAGCAGATAGAGTGTATAAGGGCAATAATTTAAGATTATCTGGAAGTACTAACTATGATGGGGATGTCTAAGCAGCACACTTTTACCTATAAACATAAAGCAAGTTCACAAGATTGTTTATGATATTTTCTCTGGTAACCTTTGCCCCTTTACTCATTGCTCTTGCAATTTCCTTTTTCACCATAAACTCTGAAAGTGTCTCACAATCAGCTGCTTTGTAATAAGCATTAAGGCTCTTAGCTACTGGGAGACAGTAATTGAAAACTCTAATTCTTCTTTCACTGAATTATGTGGAGTACATTATTGCAAATTGTACATGCGCAATTGCATCTTCATTCAATTTATCGTCACTTCTTATAAGGAAACCTATTGATTTATCTGAATCAATTGCTGACAGCTCAAAATCAGCCTAATCTTTCACTCCAAAGCCTCCAAAGTACTCAGTAACTGTTAAGCCAGTACTAACTCTTGCCTTGATTGCTACCTCTGTTCCTTGAGTTCTTGTGAGTATTCTGAAGATATCATAATGTAGTTTTTCACCGTGTTTATTGATGTCAAAATTATTGTAGTAGAGTAAATCACCACCAGTGAAAGTTGCAATTGGAGCTACAGTAGTGATATCGATTGGGGTGTTTGCTTTTAATGCATAAATCAAGTCAACACAGATTCTAGAATTAACACATTCTTGAGATAATTTAATGTAAGTATCATTCGCTGGAGAGAGCAAAGTTTTTTCTTTGTCTGTATTGTATGCTTTTGGATCATCTCTTGCGTTAACTGATCCAAATCCTGTTGTGCAAATATTAGAAGCAAAGACTAAAATTCTTCCACCTAATAATCTATGAATACTGAAAAACTTACCCTCCATTTGAATCAGCTATTTGGCTGCAGAAATAGCAGCTCCAGTGCATAAAAATGGCGATTAGTATTTCTTACTCTCTAGGTTGTGCATGTTAATTAGTTTATCTAGGAAAATATCAATTTTTACTCTATCCTCAACTACTCTAAGCATAAGTTTTTCCTTAGGAAATGGAATGAAAGGATCAACTATATCTCCTACCCACAAAATATTTGGCTCACCATTTGGATCCTAAGGTAGATTGTAGAAATGAATGTTGATGTCGTAAGTGATAAAACAAATTTTGGCGTTTTCTGCGTTTTGAATGTAATCCAATGTCATCTTTATTGATTGAACTATCTGATGGAAAAAACCAATAGGCTATGAGAATTAGCTTACATCAATGACGAAAACATAAACTGGATTTGAGATTGGATTGTTTATATATGAGTTTGGTGCTTTAAACTCATATGCTCCATATTAGAGTTCAGGTCTTTATAATTTATCCCTTCTCTAACCAAACTCATTTAATTATGATTGATAATTAACTGGAACTTCATTGATGTATTAGCAAAGATTACATGATGCTTTATTGCCTCCATCTAAGAAAGTCATGTTTGGGTTTACATAAGCTTTGCATCTATAGCATCTAAAAGGACCCTCTTCGCCATAATCAATTAGTGGGAGTTCAGGCACTTAATTTGCATATTCAACTGAGGTTGTTTCGGCTAGAGGTTATACTATGAATCCAAGTGGAATACTGCTTTATTTTGAGAAATCTGCCTCTTATGGAGTATTGACAGCTGTTGCTCTCATGAATTTAGGCCCTACTTGACCTTCATCAATCTGCAGGAATGGGATACCTGCTGAGGGAGGAGTGTTATTTGATTTTGTAGGAAATCTATCTGCGACTCCTGATCTGTAATTAAATGCATTAAGAAGCTTTATAGGTCTAGGCATCTGTTCTCCCTGTATCTTCTGATTTGCCTAGTCTAGATTTTATTGAGCTAGAAACTTAAACATAATAATTTACTTTGCTATTGTCCAACTGCTGCTCCTCCAATATTAGCTCTTTAATCAATACTTTATTGTGATTGAGTCTGTGATGTATCAGGATACATATTATTGTAACCATGTGGCTATTATTGCTACCTCTAACCATCCTACACATAGTATTTATCAGCTGAACTTGCTTAAACTGAGTCAAAACTCTAATCAACCATCTATAATCATGAATGATACTTGACACGATTCATTAAATATCAATGTTTACCCCAGGGTATATTCTCTTCTGCAAATGAGGAAGGTGAGCTTTTCTTGACTACTCTTGCCCATATGGATTCTGCATGTATTCTTGCCTAAATAGGATGTCATGAAACTTTTGAAAATACTATTGCTGATTATTATAGTCGAAGACCTAGTTTTACTACTAGGGGTATAGCTGCTGCTATCTTTAAGCTTAGTTGTAATTTTAAGTCATAGTAGGAATTTTAAGTATTATAAATTATTAAGTTAATTGAGAAATTTAATTATAATTATTACAGCTGCAAAATGAGTTCAACGCAATAGGAGGAAAATAAACTCTACCAAAACAGCACTTAAGAGCAATTAGATAAGGAAATCCTCAAACAAAAACTCAGGGAAGAAGCTCAAAAAATTAAAATAAGATAAGTAGAAGGACCTTACAACTTTGATAACCCACATTTGGAGCACAAAACAAAAAGATAAAAGAAATTAGAAGAACTCGAGAATAAATACAAAGATAAGCCAAAAATTGCTTTTCACACCTTGACCGACGAAGGCAATCTAAAATTCATGCAAATAAAGAGGGATATGATATGGACGACACTTGGCTGGTCCTTCATTGGCAATTTTGCAGGAATACTGATGGTACAATACATCGAGAAGTCAAGTGATAGATGGAAAACTCTAAAACACATTAGAAAGAGAGAGGGCATGAAAGTAGTCAGCTTCATAGGAACTGTACTTGCTTTTACATATTACGGTTATGGCAGAGCAAGACAAGATTTTGTTAGGGAAAAGCTAAAGATTGTCGATTAATTTAGCGTGTCGTCAACTACCAAATGATTTATAGCAAGATACTATTAGGAATATAAGAATGAATGATTAGATAGTTTGTGTTAATTTAGATAATCATAGAAGTATATTAATGTCTTTTCTTTGATGAATATGAATTATTATCTTGGGGAACAAATAAAGAATATACTTAAGTTTATATGTTATAAATTATCATGCTATTTACAAATTTTTATTGTTCTCTGATGTATTAACGCTAGATTACTCCTCAATATTACTATTGTTCGATTACTGATTTATACTTGGCATCAATGACTTATCATATCTGTCTCTATATTTAAGCGCAACTTCATATAATTCAGACTCATAGATGTTATTTTCCCAGAGTTTACTGCACATATAGTAGGCAACCAACGATGAGAGAGCGAATTTGCCAATGAAAGGAACCCTCCTCATATCGAGTAATTCTGTCTGCCTGAAATTGTAGATACCCGTAAAGAAGCAATTGTAGACTGCGAAATTTGTGAAAAGGCCGAATAACGTCAGCATTCTTCCATAAGCAAACTGTCTCTTTACTACTATACGTTCTTCATTGTTCTATGAATTCCATCGCTGCTTCTCTCCCTGGGCCCACCACAGAAAAGACTTGATCACTCTTTTTCTTTTGAGTTCACGGTCTCTTTCTCCAGCAGCATTTTTAATATCTTCTGGATCCAGACGAGACATTTATCGAATATTGCTTACTTTCATAATTATTCTATGGATAATAATTAATTATATTCCCTCTTAATATATAATTTTTTATAAAATTTATATAGTATCGTAACTTTATTATGCTAATCAACTTTGGGTGAATGTGGAAAGCCAGTCGAGTGCTTTGCTCTTAAGTATTTTTGCATTTTCACTGACTTTTTCTGCTATTCTTGCTGCTTGCTCCTTATATTCATCATAACTATTATTGCCTATAAAAAGTATTTTGACATTTAAAATATTACTGCTTTGTGAAGATCTGCCCATTAGATAACCCTCAACTTCATCTCCCAAGTCTTTTGGTTCTTTTTTTTGGTCTCCAAAGAACATATCACTAGATATTGCTTTTTACCCTGCCAATGACTAGTACTTTTATTTAACTTCTTCACTCTTAACTTCTTATTTGCCAAATATATCCTCACTTGAAATTCCTTTTTTATTTCCTAATTGCTTTAGTCTTTATGATGCCTCGTAATCTGTTTCTGTAGAAGTATACTGGGCGCCAGAAGACACACCAAAGCTAAGAGTTTTATTCAGAGTAAAAGTATTTCCTGAAGAGTGATTGTTATTGCTGTTGTTATTCTTAGGGACCAGGTCGAATTGATCATCAACCTCCTGCAGTTATGTAACAAATTTAGTACTCTTATCATTTGCTCCAAGTGATACAGTCTTTTGCAAATTACTTGCTGTGTTCAATTTAGTAGGCTCAAAAGAATTGAAGAAGTCATCTCCGTCAAAATTTACATCCAGTTTCTTAGCATTTAAAGTCTTAACCTCAGTAGCCTGCTTGCCAAGGTTCAATCCTCCTAATCCAAAAGTACCTGATTATTACTATTGCACAAGTCCATTACCTACAATTGGCTTTGGCTTTATTTAAATTTTGGATTCCTCCTAACTATCGCCTAGTTCTAATTTAAATACTGGACCAGCTAGCCCAGGGTTCATTTATCCAAATGTGTTTTTAGACTCAAATACATTATCACTTCCAAATTTCTGTCCATCGCTATTAGGACCATAAATTTGCTTGATATTGTCTGAATTTTGATTGAATACTGCTGATCCCTAAGTTTAAAATCCTCCAGCTCCTGTTGCATTGCTTATTTCCATCTCTACCTTTTTCAACAGATCTTGTTTGTACTTTGAAAGTGCAGGGGCCTTGTGATTTGGCTTGCTATCAACGTACATAGCATTCTTTTCAAAGAATATCTGAGCATTCTTGTTACCTCCAAGTTCCATTTACTTTATCTCTTTTAACTTCCATCTATCCATCTTCAGAGATCTAATTGTTATATAATCGAAATTCTTGAAAATACCTGACGAAGGAAATATGCACGCCTAAATTTCTATGGACTGATGTACACTGATAGCACAGGAATATGCCAATATTTGAAGATGCCCACTTAGGATTTTTGCTTTTGCAATCAAAACATACCTACATGAATCATTCAGCAATAAGTTTTATTACTTTATTTTCAGGGGCTTAAAGTAATCTGTCTAGGATGGCGTCCCTTTCGTCATCAGCTATGTACTGATCACTCATTTCTAAATGCAATAATAATTTAAATAACTTATTATTAAATTGATTGCTCTTATATCATTATAATCAATTAATGGGGTTTTGGGGTTTTGGGGTTTTGGGG